TGGCCACTCTTTTCTAGGTCTCTCCACCCTTTTTAGGGGCTGGAGTCAGAGGGTTTGTTGATACCCTGGGGCTGCTGCAGCAGGAACCATGCACTGGTGACTTAGAACAGTGAACGTTGATTTGAACCAAGGCGTGGGCAGTGTTGGTCCGTTCCGAGGCTGTGAGGGGTCTGTTGCAGGCCTGTCCCAGCTTCCGGTGGCTTGCCGGTGAAAGAAAGGGAGCCAAGATGCAGGGTACCGTTCAAGCTTTATTAAAGGAAGAAAATCTGCCGGGCTGTGCTCAAAGTGGCAGGCAGCCTGGGGCTGCCCTGAAAAGGGGACAGCACCAGGTGTGGGGTGGTAGAGCTTATATAGTGTGCCAAGGGCTGGCTGATACCATCAAGGAGGGTCATTATGCTAATGTGGACCGGGATGGAGAACTGCATCCTTGTGGAAGCAAAAGGGGTTTCTCTTTAAGTCAGGAGGCTTCTCGTAAAGGGAAGGGGGGAGGGGAGGAAGTGGACGGTGCCATTTTGTACTTGGACTTGTCTAAAGTGGCGCTGGTTATGTTGCAAATCTATTAGCTGGCTCATGGTGTTTTCAGTTTATAGAAGCTTCGCTTGATGTCTGCCTCTGTCTTCTGTGCGTGCATGTCTGTGTCCAAATTTCCTCTTCTCATAAAGACACCAGTCAGGTTGGATCAGGACCCCACGAATGACTTCACTTTGATCACATCCGCAGAGATCCCATTTCCAGATAAGCTCACATTCAGATGCACTAGGGGTTAGGACTCCAACTTATCCTTTTTGAGGGGACACAATTCAGCCCCTAACAGAGTCTGCTCAAAGCCATAGGATTAGCCTGGCCCCTCCTCCGTGCATCCCACATGGCTCTCTTTAGACCGTGTCTCGTTTGGGTTCCTTGGGAAGGAAGAGTCCACGCTGAGAATCCTGCATCGTTGGACCTCACTGGACACAGGCTGAGCCCACTGCACTCAGAGGAATGCCCAATGCCAGGCGTGCAGGTGGCTCTGCCCCTGTCCCGGCATTGTGGCAGCTGCAGGAGGAAGGAGGCCCATATGTGGGATGGCTGTGCTAATTTCAGTGGCGGGAAAACCTTCAAATCGACAGTGCACAGAGCTTGCCTGGTCCCTGCAGTGTGTAGGACCATGGGTCATCCTGGGTATGGGTGGGAGATGTCTGGAGGGGGCAGTGTCCTCAGAAGAACAAGGCTATTGAGCTGTCTGGGAACCAAGATATCACGGAAAAGAGTGCCAGAAAGCGCATCCCTCCTGCTGGGAGATCATATCTAGAAACCTCCACCATTGTGATGTCTGGTATGAATGAGGAGAGGATGCGATGTTCAGGAACTCCTGGAGCACCATCCTGGGCAGCACTTTCTATCCCACTGTCCCATGCAGACAGCCTCGCCGGGCACGTTCCTCCCACCCTACATCCCGCCGCGTCCCACAGACACCCTGGGATGCCCCAGGGGGCAGTCGGGCTCTGCCTGCCAGGCCACAGAGGAACGCTCCGCAGCTCCCTCTGGCTTCACGTATGTCTTTGAAGTAGGCGGCTGTCCCTGAGTCAAGACGATGGCAGCGAGGTCCGTGTCTTGTTTGTGGCCATCAAGAGGGGCACGCCTGAGATCTGCAGGGTCTCAGTGCATTTAGAACTGTCGCCGCTTTATCGACATGCACACCACGCTTCCAAAAGTGAAGGGAGCCACCCTCTCTGACTCAGCCCGTCCTCTGCATCTGGTGGTGCAGGTGTGACCGTGTGGACATCCACAGTTGTATGGACATGCTGAGGACAGTGAACCTGTTGGTTAGCCTGGTGCCACGTGGAGCAAATGCGTCCACATGTCACCTGGCTGTGCCAGTCCACGGGCTGCCCTGGATGTTCTCGTGCCCTGGAGGCTACCACAGTGGCAGGTCTGTCCTTCATCTGGACAGTGCTGTGGCCTCGCTGCGGGCTCTAAGCTGCTAGTTTCTGTGTGGGCCAACCTCCCTGTACCTACGTTTCTTGGTTAGTGAACTAGAACATTCTCCCCCATCTTTATTAACTCTTCGTGCTGTGAAGCGTCCATCAAGGCCTTTGCCCATTTATCTACACAGACAGCCATAAATTTTTTCACATTTGAATGAACAAGTGGTGGGTGTAGTTTTTGAATAGACCCTGGCAAGCTGAGAGATTCATGAGTCCGTGAAGGTTTAAATTCAGCTACTTTCTGTTTGAAAGTCCTCTTAGGGTTTTGCTTGTCTCTTCTTCCCTGGGGTGAGCTAAGCTGGAGGCAGGTGGTGTATGGTCCCTGCAGCCCCCTCAAGGAGGTGCCATCTTTTCCCATTCTGGTCTGCCCGGCCCTGCTGTTCTGCTCCTATTGGCCTCATCCGGTCTGTGCCTGGCACAAGGGTCAAGTGGGGCACCTGATGCTGACCTGGCTGGTGCCACTTGACTCTCCAGTGCTGGTGGTCCACTGAGACTGCAGCCTCGTCCTCCCCACTGTCCCGAGGGCTTTTCACAAGGCATCTTTTTGCTCTTTGCCTCCTCAACCAGGCCTTAAACCCTGAGTTGGACAAGTGACATCTGAGCCACCCCTGAGTCCCTCTTGGGGCCCACAAAAACTTGCTGGTGCTTCAGAGCACTCAGGGGTGGTCCTCTGAGGGCCCCTCTCTCCATGGCCTGCTGTTCTGGGCTGCACACCAGGACACTAGCACCGTGCATGGCGCTGTCAACTCCCCAAGCAAACAGGGTTTCTCCCCAGCTCACCTTTAACGTGGACAGCAGGGGACAGTCATGGGCAGGTGGCTGAAGTCTTCTCTGCTCTGTGCCCCTCTCTTGCCCAGCCGAGAGGCCTGTCCACCACGGGGAGGGAGTGTCGACGTGGACAGCAGGGGACAGTCATGGGCAGGTGGCTGAAGTCTTCTCTGCTCTGTGCCCCTCCCTTGCCCAGCCGAGAGGCCTGTCCACCACGGGGAGGGAGTGTCACTTGGTGTGGAGAGGGGAGCAGGGCAGATGGCATCTGCTTTTGAATGTTTCTGTCTTTCAGGTGACTTGAACTCGGAATTTGAGAACATGCCTGTACTGTCTGGCTCCTATGAGTGGACCCATGGCCCAAATGTGGGGTGGTCACGGGCCTCGGGGAGGAGGGAAAAACATACAACTGCCCATGTTCCGTGAGGACACACACTTTATTGATTTTAGCAACTGACCTCTGTCACATCAGATACAAGCAACCACTCCTGTAAAGGGGGCTCCCAGGGGCCCCCAATCCACCCCATTGAGGGATTTATGGGTCATCTCTTCACAGAAATGGAGGGGGATGAGTGGCATGTTCAAAAGCCCCTCCAGGCAGCAACTGTGCAGCCATCCAAGGGGAGAGGGCTGATTCTGATGGCACAGGGCCTCCACAGCCTCCTGAGACTGGAGAATTCTGCTCAAAGCCAAGACAGGAGAGCGAGCTGTTCAGCAGCAGGACTTCTGGGCCGAGGTGGTGACACAGCAGGCTGGGCGGGAGCATGCAGTGTGGCAGAGCAGGGACATGCAGGAGGAGGGTCTGCAGCAGGAGGGTAGACAGGGGCTGTGCTGGCAGCATGAGGGGGCTGGGCAGGGAATGGCCCCAGAGCAGATGGGCATGGAGCAGATGGGCACAGAGCAGGCCTGCTGACAGGAGGAGGAGGTGCAGCAGGGGGACTCACAGCTAGACTGCTGGCAGCACAAAGAGGAAGCTCCAGAGCAGACGGGCACACAGCAGATGGGCTTGCAGCACGCAGGCTTATAACAGACGGGCATGCAGCAGACAGGCTTGCAGAAGATGGTTTTAGAGCACACGGGCACACAGCAGTCCTGCTGGCAGGGGGAGGAGGCACAGCACACCACAGCTAGACTGCTGGCAGCACAAGGGCGTGCAGGAGCTGGTACAGACTGAGTGGCAGGGGCTGGGCACACAGCTCACTGAGGTGTAGACAAGGGTCAGACAGGGGGTTGGGGCACAGCTGCAGGGGGGCTTGCAGCAGCTCTCTGGGCAGTTGTCCACCTGCCCGGAGTTGTCGGAGCAAGTGCTAGAGCAGACTCGGTGGACATAGCCATGTGGCGTGGTGAAGTGTGTGTGTGTGTGTGTGTGTGTGTGTGTGTGTGTGAGTGTGTGAGTGAGGCTGTGAGTGTGTGTGTGCATGTGTGCGAGTGAGTTCATGTGGGTGAGCATGTGTGTATGTGAGTGTGTGAGGCTGTGAGTGAGTGAGGGTGCGACGTGCTGGGGCTGTCGAGCTTGTACGCTGATGGAGTTTGGATGTGTTGTCCCCTCCAAAACTCATGTGGAAATTTGATCCCCAATGCAGCAGTGTTGGAAACTGATTGAGTTATGTGGCACGGATCCCTCATGAATGGATTAATGCTCTCCCTGGGGGAGGGGGGATTAATGAGTGAGATCTTGCTCTATTAGTTCCTGCGAGAGCTTATTGTTTATAGGGCCCTGGCACCTCTTGCTTCTCTTTCTTGCTTCCTCTTGCCATGTGATCTGCTCGTACCCACTAGCAGCCTGCCACTTTACACCATGCGTAGAAGCAGTCTAGGTCCATGCCAGATGCAGCTGTCCCAGAATCGTAAGCCAAATAAACCTCTTTCCTTTATAAGTCACCCAGTCTCAGGTATTCTGTTATAGCAGCACAAAACAGTCACCCAATCTCAGGTATTCTGTTATAGCAGCACAAAACAGACTAAAACATATGCCCTCCCTGCCTGCGCTGGCCCCTTCTTCATCAGTGCTCCATCTGGTTGCTGGGACCCTGCTTAGTGCTGGTTCATCCTCCTCCAGTGGTTTTTTGCTCATTACACCGCTGGGTGTGCTCCAAGACTCTGTTTCTCCATCTGTTCTTATTTTGGCTCCAGCAAACCCGTGGAAAGCATTTCAGGCAAGCTTTGGTTGAGTTGAAAATTTGGAAGTGAACACCTCTCCAAAGTGAGGAATTCTGGTTCCAGCTACCCTGTGTTTGTAATGATTAAATATTTTCTATAACTTTAAGCATTTTAAAATATAAGAGTAAAGAAAAATTTGCATATTTTATAAAATGCAACTGGCACAAACAATTAGATAACAAGAACCTAAGTGTCCCTCCTCTTCAAATCACCTGTGCCTCATTAAAGAGAATGCTCAGAAATTCGATATCATGTGTATTTATACTTTCTCTGTTTAGCTCTTCAGTCCTATGACACATTCAAATGCCTTTTTGTTATATTTCAAACTATATTCTGGATTTTTTCCATTTTCTTTTTGCCATGGTTAAAGATCAAGTAATTTTTCATGAAAGATGGTGGGTTTTACATTTTAAGATTCCTTGTATGTCTGAAAATGTATCAATTTTACAATCATACTTAGGTGATACTTTAGCTGGGTATAAAATTCAGGTTTAAAATAATCGTTTCCTCAAAACGAGAAGACATATCTTCTTCTTTTTTTGTGGTGTCCAGTGTGGCTGATGAGGGTCTGATGCTGGTCATCTGTCATTTCTTTATAGTTTGTTTCTCTCTATCTCTCTTTTTAAACTATCCATGTGTTTGGTTTTCTTTTTATTCTTGCTCTAAAACATCATGTGTTTGTTTCTAGGCTTGTGTATTGTTTTAGTTTCTGTGGTTGGAACTCATTGAGACTTCAATGTGAAGAACTCATCTCAGGAAATGTTTTTGCAGTGTTTTAAAATCAGTTCACCTTTCCTGGTCTTTCGTTTTGTGATTCCTGTCAGAGGTTGGATCTTCTGGAACTAGCCCTTACATCTCTTAATTTTTCTGTCATTTTCCTTGTGTTTATCCTTTGTTCTTTTCTTTTGGAGATTTGCTTGCTTTTATCTTTCAGACCACATTTCAGTCTTTAGCCATTTCTGGTCTATTATTTGGCCCTTACATTGATTATTTGTTTCCAAATTTTCCATTCAAAAGTTATTTCTGATTATTTCCTTTTTATACAGCTTGATTTTGACTTGTGATATGAATGAAATATGTTCCCCACTAACTCTGATGATGTTATGGTGAGTTTTTAAAAGGTTTCCACCATTTCTTAAACCATGAGTTTCACTGGACATCAGATAAGTTCTGCTCATTGGTGGCAACTCATTCAATTTTATGAATTAAAGACTAAGTAATTTTATTCTTGGGCATTGGGGTCCTGCTCCAAGTTTTACACTGTTCTGTTTTCATCTGCTTCTCTTATCTACACATATAAAGGTTCTTGCTGAACCTCTCTTTCTTGTTTTTATATTTTTGATTTTATTTTTCTTATCCCTCTTAACCATCCTTTCAGTGGGTATCATCAGAGGTTGTGGGAGAACCAGGTGCTTGAAGCACTTTCCAGAAATGAAGTGTTGCTTTAAGGAAATGAAGGAAGAATTGGTGACCCTAGTGCTACATAATCTTACCTTTTAGACACATGTCATCACAGTGTGATCTCTTTTCAATGTCAGCAATGTGTGAGGTATAACCTTAGAGGCTGTCCTTGCAGATACAAATGCTGAGAGAAGCTAGCCATCTGTGAGAGGACAGCCAGTTGGTGGTAAAACTGAGCACACAGGAATAAATGGCTCCACTTTTCATGTGGCTCCTCTCTGACCTCCCTTAGGACCGGCTCCTGCGAAAGCCTTGTGTTTTGTGAGTGGGAGACGGAAGGACTGTGGGCTTGAGCCTATGGGATTTGGGCTGGGACAAGCCCCAAGGTACATATAATAATTTTCTCTGCTTTTCCCATGGCTGCCTCTGGTATGCTGCTTAATCCAGTGGGCATTATGATTTCCTTGTCTCTTTATTTCTCATTTGTGACCCATGCCCTTTACGTAGCTCTCTTCTCCTTGGCCTCTGGACCACCCACCACTGTCCGAAGCATCTTTTCCTCACCATCGCTTTACCCACAGCTCTTCAAGAGTCTTGGCTCACCTGCTGCAAGCTGGGGCCCAGCCCTCAGTGAGGATGGGCTCCTTTGGATCATGGAACTGTCGGTTGGGGGCTGGCAGGGCAGGTTCCGTGCAAGATCAAATGATCAAGTGATTTTTAAAAACAAGCACAAGGCTGGCCTGTGGCTCACTCGGGAGAGTGTGGTGCTGATAACACCAAGGCCACGGGTTCAGATCCCTATATAGGGATGGCCAGTTAGCTCACTTGGGAGAGCGTGGTGCTGACAACACCAAGTCAAGGGTTAAGATCCCCTTACTGGTCATCTAAATAAAAAAAAAAAACAAGAACAAACTCTTTGGGCATCTGAGAGAGTGGAGCTGAGCTGGTGACCTGGTCCTGCGGGCAGGTGGGAGGTGCCAGGTGGCCGAGAGTCCGGAAGGCAGGGGACTGACAGCTGTGTCCTGCAGGTAGGCATGCGTGTTTCTTCCTCGCTCTCTCCTGTCACCGCTGGGTGAGGAGGGTGACCAGGCCCCGGGGCTGTGCTCCTGAAGCTAATGGGACTGCCTCTGGCAGCTCCTCGCTAAGCTGGTGCTTCTGGTTTGCAGCACGTCTTGACGTTGCTCATGCAGTCTCCTAACCCAAGTTTAGCAAGAATTCTGCCTTGGGCTTTTGGGTAAGGAATGAATTGAATCATACACGTATGTGCATTAATCTATTGAGAGTTCTCGTGGCTTTCTGCTTCCACTTTATTAGTGTAATTTATTATATCATTTCCAACTTGCATTTTGAGATATATTCTACTTGATAATGGCTTATTCTTCTTTTCCTCGGCATTATTGAGGTATAAAAATTGTATAAATGTAAGGCGTACAGCACAGTGTTTGATACACATACACACGTGCAGTTACTATCCACCACCTTGGTTCCTTTCTTCTTTGTGTATGTGGTGAGAACATGTAAGATCCACTCTCTTAGCAGATCTTGAGTCTCAGTACAGTGTCATTAAATGTAGTCACCATGCTGTATGTCAGGTCTCCAGAACTTACTCATCCCACGTGCCTAGAGCTCTGTGCCTTCTGACCAGCATCTTCCCATCTCCCCATGTCCCAGCCCCTGCTGCCCACGCTTCTGCTCTCCGCTGCTGTGAGTTTGACTGTTCAGATTCCACATGTAAGTGAGATTGTGCAGTGTCTGTCTGGGCCTGGCTTATCTCACTTAACATAACATCCTCCAGGTTCATCCACGTTGTCACAAATGGTAGGATTTCCTTCTTTTTTAGGGCTGAGTAGCATTCCTCTGTGTACATGCACCGTGTTTTCTCCATCCTGTCATCTGTTAATGAACACTTAGGTTGATTCCGTATCTTGGCTATCATGAATAGTGCTGCAGTACACGGGACTGCAGACATCTTCGAGGTACTGACTTCATTTCCATTGGGGATATGAGTATACCCAGAAGTAGGATTTCTGAATCATATGGTAGTTCTATTTTTAATTTTTTGAGGAACCTCCATACTGTTTTCCATAATGGCAATACACAAATTATTCTTCTAATGTAGTCCATATTAAATTTGCTAACATTTTATTTAGAATCTCTTACTTTATATTTTTAAATAAGATTTGTCTACAGTCAGTGTTTCTCTCTCTCAGTCTGTCTGTCTCCCTATTGTTGCTGATTTTGGCATCAGGGTTTTGCCAGTCTCATTAGATAAATCCAGAGGACCTCTGGCTTATCGTAAGCTCTGGGATGTTTTAAATATCACAGGGAAGGTCTTTACATTGAAGGATGATGGTCTACACCTTTAAAACCATCTGCCTTTTGAAGAATCAGATCTTGAAATAACTTTTCAATATTTTCTTGGATATTATTGTATTAAAATTTTCATTTTGTTAGTCAGTGTAGGTAATTTACATTTTTTAGAACATGGCACATTTTATTTATATTTTCACATTTTAGGATAAATATGGCTATACTACTTTTGTATACTTAGAATCAAAACTCTGAATCTGTGAGCATATCCCTTTTTCCATTTTTAATGTGTTTATTTGTATTGGATTTCTCAGAGCTTTTAAAGTTTTATTGCACATGGTTGTACAGGTGTTTGTGTGGACATAGGTTTTCACTTCTCTTCGGTAGATGCCCAGGAGTGGACTGCCAGGGTCACAGGTCACTCTGTGATTAACATGTCAAGGAACTGTTTTCTGGGTGACTGCACCCAGGATCAAGGCTCTGACAAAGCAGAAGACGCAGCTGATGGGGTCTCCGGGAAGGGCGTCCGAGCTGAGGCTTCCCCAGGAGGAGCGTGCCCAGGGATGGCCACGGTGGCCTGAGTCTTGTCTGTGTCTTGGACAACAGTATGCAGGGGTGAAAGTGACAAACGTGGATGAGGTCAGAGAGTGAGCCCTGGGCCCTGCTCCCTGCTGTCTGTTCTGACCCACGGCTGTCAGATGCGTGTGTGGGGGACCCGTCTCCCCAGGACTGAGGCTCGGCCCCAGTCAGCTGCCCTGAGAACCGGATCAGGAAGCAAACATCTCTGTCCCTGGGGGCCCTCGTCTCGACCTGGCTTTGCTTCCAGTGAGACAGACAAGGCTGTGCCAGCTTGAGCTCTGGCCTGGGAGTGGCCGCTGCTGACTGTCCTGGGCAGCCTGCTTCGGGGCAGTGAGGGAGGGGCTGTTCTGACCACAGTGAGCACCGTGGGACTCCAGGTGGAGGTGGCTTGATGCCTGGTGGTAGGGCCGGCGTCCTCTGGCGCCTACCTGCAGAGGCCTGTTTATTTGGCAGGGGGTGGGCCTAAGACCTGGCGCAGAGAGTAAGGGGCTTCATGCCACATGTCTGATATGGGTCCTGGACCACGTCTGACAGCCTGAGGGGTAGCAGGTGGGAACAGGGAGACCAGGAGTGTGGGAAGGGTGTCCTGAGGTGAGAGTGCAGGAACGAGGGACCAGGAGGTAGCCGGGAACCCCCACATCTCTTGGGGAGCTGTGCAGGGGAGGAGGCTGGCATCCTGGAACAGTTTTCACTGCTAGCTCTGCCTCGTTTTTACCCCACCAGCGACACCTGGGAAATGGACACACCAAGAACGTGAGGCTGGTGGGTTTCAGTCCTGGACAAGGGCACTGTCTCCATGTCTGTTGTGGGGGGTAAGGAGGGTGGGATGCGGAAGCTGGAGGAAAGGCGGCCTCACCAGGTGTGGGGCCAGGCCTGGCTCAGCTATCCCAGTCCCGGGGGTGGGGTGGGGGGGTAGCCTCAGAGCTGGGAAGAGCATGTGTGACTCAGGGGCCTGTAGCTGCTACCAGGGGATCTACTTTGTACCATCACCCCTGGCCTTGGTCCCAGAGGTGACAACCCTGAGATGGGACTGGGGGCCATCTGTTGGGGCCAAAGGTCCCAGTGGGCTATGAGGGAGCCTGGCCTTCCACGTCCATAGAGGCCAGCACCAGGTGCCATGTGTCCCCCACCTCCCCACCCCCTGCGTGTCCATAGACAGGACCGAAGTTCAGAATAGGACAGAGGACACTTTATTAGGACTCAGAGGTGGCATCATTGCCTGACTGATGACCAGGCCTGTGGGGGTGGGGACTCACCCTGGGAAGAAGGGGTCCTGATGGAGCGACTGGGGCACCCCCCTGCAGCCAGCATCACAGAACAGCAACAGCTTAGGGAGCATCCCCAGTCCCTGAGACCAGGGCCCTGTCCTGTCCTCTGTGGTTGTCAAAGCCAGAGAGGGTGGGTCAGGCTGGGGCAGCCGGGAAGTCAGCCCCCACGGTGGGGAAAGGAGCCTCGATGAGGTCTGGCCCAGTCAGCAGTAGGACTTCTGACCTGACTAGAGGCTGCAGCAGGCCGGGCGGGAGTACGTGGGGCAGCAGATCAGGGACACGCTGGAGGCCGGGCGGCAGCAGCTGGGCCGGCAGGACAAGGCAGGGGCACAGCGGGAGGGGACGGGCACACAGCAGGCAGTCCTGCACATGGGACGGCAGAGGAGGGACATGCAGGAGGAGGGTCTGCAGCAGGAGGAGGGGCGGGGACTGGGCTGGCAGCACGGAGGGCCTGGGCATATCGGTACATGGCACACAGGCTTGCAGCAGATGGGCACAGAGCTGGCCTGCTGGCAGGGAGAGGAGGTGCAGCAGGAAGGTTCACAGCTAGACTGCTGGCAGCACGAAGAGGAAGCCCCAGAACAGACAGGCACATAGCAGACAGGCTTGCAGCAGACAGGCTTGCAGCAGACAGTTTTACAGCACACGGGCACACAGCAGTCCTGCTGGCAGGGGGAGGAGGTGCAGCAAGCTGGCTCACAGCTAGACTGCTGGCAGCACGAGGGTGTGCAGGAGCTGGTGCAGACTGACTGGCAGGAGCTGGGCACACAGCTCACTGGGGTGTAGACGAGGGTCAGGCAGGGGGCCGGGGCGCAGCCACAGGGGGGCTCGCAGCAGCTCTCTGGGCAGTCGTCCACCTGGCAGGAGTTGTCGGAACAAGCACTGGAGCAGACAGACATGGTGGATGCAGCCATGCAGAGTGGTGAGCTGGGGAGAGTGTGAGTGAGCGTGTAAGTGAGTGAGTGAGTGTGTGAGTGAGTGTGTGAGCTGTCTGGGTGCTCCGGCTTTTATTCCCCTCCAGGGTGTGTTCTGTCCCAGCAGGAGGCTCGGCAATGCCCTTCTCTTCCTTGTTGGTGTTTTGACCCAGGAGAACCTCATTAGAGCTGGTTCTGTGGTCACGAGACGTCCTTGCTCAGCTCATAAAACTTAGGCGGTGCAGGGCACCCCAACTGCCACTGGCCTGCAGGAACCCCTGGGGGTGAGGTGCAACCTCCCGGGGCTGACCCCATAGCCGCCACCTGGCAGGTCACATGCGGGTGCCTGGCATGGGCTCACGGCCGGGTCGTGCTCCATGGGTGCCCAGCCTCCGCCTGCAGTGGCCCCCCCAGGCAGCCTGCCCTGGCCTGAGGTTGGGAGAGACGAGGGGAAGGCAGGGGAGGCGACCCTTCCTGGCTGGGCTCTGGGATCCTCTGGGATCCCTGTATTGGCCAAGGGCAGCGAGGACAGGGAGGACCTCCCCGCCCCAAGGAGGAGATGGGACTTCCAGTGAGGCCAGCTGCACAGTCGGTGTGTTAGGATGAGCGTAGCTGGAGACTGAGCTTTGGGTCCTAAAGCGCTGTCCCCTGCAGCCCATGTCAGTTGTCCTGGGAAAGGCAGGTCCTGGGCAGGACCTGAGGATGGGGAGGGGACTCAGACTGGAGGAGGAGGGACTAGGACGAAGTCATGTGAGGGAGCTGAGGACACTGGCCTGGGCCCGGGAGGTCAGCCATGCAGCCTGGGCCCTGACCCAGGGGCTGGGACGTTCCCAGGCGGGCTCTTCTGTCTGAGCCCAGCATGGCACGGCATGGCCTGCTGATGGTTCCCGCCAGGAGCCGCTAATATTTCCCAACACCCTTTCAGCCTCTCTCAGCTGGGGTGAAGAAAGGTCAGAAGGGGCAGAGGACAGGCCCGCTGACCAGATGCTGTCTGCGAGGCCTGAGGAGACCCCTGCGAGGGGAGCGACTGTGGGGGGAGAGGACAGAGCAGGTGGGCACGGGAGCAGTGATGACATAGCACAAGCAAACTGCAGAAAAATCAGAACAGCAGACTACGCTCTGAAATTCACCCTCTGAGGATAGCACTGCTGAGAAGCCACCTGGCCGTGGACAGCTGCGGCACATTTTAGGTCTGCAGGGTTGGCACATTGTAGGTCTGCAGGATCTGCGCATTGTAGGTCTGCGCCCTAGGACTGAAGGCGCCAAGTCTGCACTATGGCGGACTGCGTGCGCCACCAACAGAGGCATCACACCCACACCAAAGTGAATTTCTTCCAGGACGACCAGGGTGGGGTCATAGGGAGTCCTGCTCAGGTGGCTCTCCACTGACAGATTCGAGAGAAAAGGGAAAAACATGTCCTCTCAGTGGGAGCATTTGATAAGGTTGAACAGTTACTTCTAATAAAGATCTTGGCAATTTTAATAACTAAAAACTAAGAAACACCTACAGGTTGACAAAGGATATCTGTGCAAAACCTATGGCAAAAATCTTGCTTTATGTTGACACATTGTCCCAAACAAAAAGCCAATTGAAATGAGGTGTGCGTTTCTGATATTTGCAGGTGACATGACTGTCCACTTGGAGGTCTGAGTCTGCCACTGGAGTGACTGTCACAGGCCCCTTCATTGAGGGGCTGGGTGTGAGATAAACAACAGCAACCAGCAGCCCCTCCTGCACACGGCCGTGCCAGCGTGAGAGTACAATGGGACAGCAAGCCCATAGACACGTCACAGCCCACACCGTGAAGTGCCAGATAGGAAAGTTAGAGGGTAAGGGTGAGCCAAATAGTAAAACTTGACCAAAGAACACACAGTGTATGTGCCCTTGAACCCTGATGTAGTCAGGTACTGTCATGCTCTCACATCGGTCCTTTATTGATGTCATTTCACTCAATGCCCCAAAGGAATTTTTTTTGGTAAACAAAAACAGATATTGAATTGCCAGATAACATTTGCCATATACATGACAAATGAGAGGTTAATATGAAAATTTTAAGGTCCTTACAACCAAAACAGGTTAAGATAGAAAAGAAATACAAGATTCAAAAAATTCAAATTTCCAGTAAGAACATGAAAAGCTACTCAGTCACATTAATAATTAAAGTTTCTCAAATGGAAACATAAATCTTCCACCTATAAGATCAACCAAGATTTAAAATGCTGATAATATCCAGTACTAATGAGTGTGGGGGCCTCATTCTTAGAAACTCTTGGCAGGCATGATTTTATTTAAATTATATAGCACATAATATAAAATTTTACCATGTTTTATTAACCATTGTAATGTATACAATTATTGGCATTTAGTGCAGCCACAATTTTGTGCAACCATCACTACTGTCTAGTTCCAGAACATTCTCATCACTCCAAAATGAAACCCCATAATATTAAGCAGTCACTCCCCAGCCCTTGTTAACCAGTAATCTTCTGTCTCTGGATTTTCCTATTCTGCACATGTTGTACAAATGGAATCATACAATGTGTGTTGTGTTAGTCCAGTTCTGTTGCTTATAACATAAATACCTGAAACTGGGTAATTTTAAAAGAAACAACGTTTACTGATTACAGTTTCAGAGGCTGAGAAGTTCAAAGTCCAGGGAACGCATCTGCTGAGAGCCTTGTTCTTGGTGGTAGCAAATGTGGCAGGAGCAGAGGGAGCTAACTTCTCACTCCTTCTCCTTTTAAAACCCTCAGAACCATGCCCATGACCACCATTAAGCCATCAATTTATTGATCCATTTACTACAGTGCAGTCCTCAGAATCTAATCACCTCTTTAAGGCCCCACCTTTTAATTACCATTATAGAATTTCCCATCCTCTTAATGCTGTCACAGTGGGGACCAAGCCTCCAACACATTAAACTTTGAGGGGACACAATTCAATCCATAATATGTGTCCTTTTGTGTCTGGCTTCTTTCACTGTGCATAGTGTTTTCAGGGTTAATCCATGTTGTAGCATGTCAGTGCTCCATTCCTTTTTATGGCTGAATTTTCCATCATATGGACACACCACATTTTATTTATCCACTCATCAATTGATGGGCATTTTGGTTAATCGTGCTTCTGTGAACATTCTTGTACAAGTTTGCATTTGAGCACCTCTCTTCAGTTCTCTTGGGTATATACCTAGGAGTGGAATTGCTGGGTCATATGGTAATTCTGTTTATCTTTCAAGGAATTACAAGACTGTTTTCCACAGTACCTGTACCATTCTACATTTTTTTAAATTTTATTTTTTTAATTGATTATGCATATTTATGGGGTACAAAGCTGACCATCACCACCTGTGTCCAAGATGTGATGATCAGATCAATACTGTCAGCATGCCCATTACCACAAATTGCCATTATTCCCAGTGTCCCTCACGCAACCTCTCCCCAGCCTCCCCCACTCCCTTAGCAACCCTAGGTCTGTTCTCTCCCTCTGCAAGTCCAAAGCACCACTGTGGTCTTTCTTTCCTTCCTTCTCTCTCTCTTAGTTCCCACTTATGAGTGAGGACATGTGGTATTTTCCCCCACTGTGTCTGGCTTCTTTCACTTAACATAATTTTCTCCAAGCTCTACAGATAGATCTACCATATGATCCAGCAATCCCACTGCTGGGTGTATACCCGAAGAAATGGAAATCATCATGTCAAAGGGATACGAGCACTCCCATGTTCATCACAGTCCTATTTATGATAGCCAGGATATGGAACCAACCTAAATGTCCATCAATGTACGAATGGATAGGAAAATGTGGTATATGTACACAATGGAATACTACTCAGACATTTTACATTTCTATCAGGAATGCACAAGTGTTCAAATTTCTCTGCATGCTTGTCAATACTTGTTATTTTCTGTTTGTGTGTCTGTGTGTTTTAAATTAGGACCACCATAGTGGATGTGAAGTGGGATCTCATTGTGCTTTTGATTTGCATTTCCCTAATGACTTATAATATTGGACCTCTTTTCATATGCTTGTTATTTTTGTATCTTCTTTGGGGAAATGTGTATTGAAGGGCTTTGCCTATTTTTAAGTTAGGTTTGTCTTTTTATTGAGTTGTCAGAGTTCTTTATGTGTTCTGGAAATTGGATCCTTATCAGAATCATGATTTGCAAGTATTTTCTTTCGTCCTTTGGGTTATTTCACTCTCTCAATAGTGTCCTTTGATGCACAAAACTTTCTATTTTTTTTTTAATTTAAAGTCAATTGATAGTGAACAAATTTAACACACAAAGATTGATATCCTTAATGCATAAAGAACTCTTAAAAATAAGTTAGAAAAATCTTAGCAGAAATTTGGTGAAGGACATGAGCAGACAAGTCACACACCCCAAAGAAACGCATGTGGCTAATAAGTACATTCTAAGATGTTCTTGTGGGCCGGGGTGGTGGCCTCACGATCCTCATCTCAGGACCCTGGGCATGCTCCATTGCTTGCCTGGATCAAAACTTTCTACTTTTGTTGAAGTCCAATTTATCTATTTTTCTTTTCTTGCTTGTACTTTTGGTGTCATGTCTAAAAAACCATTGCCAAATCTAACATAATGCAGATTTATCTTTATGTTTTCTTCTAAGAGTTTTATAGCTTTAGCTCATATATTTAGGACTTTGATCCATTTTGAGTTAATTTTTGTATATGGTGTGAGATAGAGTGCAACTTCTTTCTCTTGCATATGAATATGCAGTTGTCTCGGCACCATTTGTTGAAGAGATTATTGTTTCTCCACTGATCATCCTGGCATTCCTGTTGGGAATTAATTGACCATATATGGATGGTTTGTTTCTGGACTCTTAATTTTATTCCATTGATCTATATGTCTATCCTTATATCCTCACACCACTGGTTTGATTACTATGGCTTTGTCATAAGTCTTATTTCTTCCTTTCTAATTTGGATGTCTTTTATTTATTTATTTTTTTCTTGCCTAATTGCTCAAGCTAAAACTTCCAG